AGGCCATGCTGAGGCAGGGGGACTGGGTGGTGCAGGGGGCTCCTGTGCCTCCTGCTGGCCTTTAACTGCTAGTGCGATGGTATTAGGGAACCTTGAGTGGTGATTAGGTCACCCAGGGCTCTGCCTCAGGAGTATGTTAATGTTATGGCCAGAGCCAGTCAGTTCCCATGATTGGGTTTGTTCTAAAGGGAGCTCAGACCTCTGCTCTGATCTGTCCCCACCTCCCACCGTGGGAGGTCAGCAGGAAGCAGACCAAGTCAGGTAGAGGCATCTGCCCCCCACTGACTGGAAGGAACACCCCTGCAGTTCCCCATGGGGGGAGCTGTGAATTGCTATAGGCCATGAACCCCTTGTTCTTCAGGGGACAGATGTGTGGGGAATAACTGAAGGGCTGACCCTGGTTCACCTCCCACCCACCTGTGCTCCTTTTCACCTGGTACAAGGACTAGGTCCAGGGCCCTTGTGGGGGAGGGACAGGGCTCACCATTCTGAGGCAGACAACATCTCCTGATCAGGCTGATTTCCTACAACATGATCAATGATCTCGAGACCACACTTGGGCCTAGGAAAAGGACAGCACTGAGGGGCGAGGAGAAGGCTGCCCTTCAAATCTCACCAATCCCACTGCCCCCGTTATAGCCACAGCACCCACCTACACAGCTCTTACAGGGGGCCAAAGCGCTTAATTAACTCATTAGTGCAACCCCTACTTTATAGATGAAGACCCAGGGCCATTGAAAACTGCAGCACCCTGTCCAAGGTCCACTGGTTGAGGAGGGAGGAGGCTGGGATGGGACCTGGGGCCCTCAGGTGTTGGGGCCCGTTTGCTCTGTGCCCTCAGAGGGCTCCAGCAGCCACCAGGAGCTTGGTCCCATCACARAAGCCCAGTCCACATGGAGGAGGGGGACAGGCTCTCCACCCGCCTCAGGGCTTTCCACCCRACTCCTGCAGCCTGGGGCACTCACAGCTTGGGAAGCAGGGAGTCCTTGAGCAGGGGGGCCTCGAATCCAGGTAAGAACCGGCCAGTGTAGTTCGTCTTCTCCACCAGAGTGTGGGTGGTGTCCCCATACTGCAGGTGGGAAGCAGACTGGCTCAGCCCTAGGACCCCACCCATGCTCAGGCAGGGGGATGGGGTTGGGCAGGGCTGGGTCTTTTCATGGCCCCGAACCAGCCTGAGTTCCTAAGTCGATCCTGGGAAAGTCACTTCCCCTGACTGACATGTGTTGCCTTCTATCATTTACTTAGGAGTTTCAATCTCAATCTAACTGCCTCAGGGGACCAGAAGCCCTGTGGAGACAGGGATGCTCTTTTACTCATCATGCTGTCTTTGGCTCCTAGGCAGTGCCTGGCGCATAGCAGGTGCTCAATGAAACTGTGTTGACGATGAAAACCATGGAGGCATCAGCTCTAATCATGCTAAAGGGTGTTCAATGGGCTTAATGCCTGATGTGATCTTGAGGAGGTGGGACCTCGGGTTGTCTCTGTCCTACAGCAGCACGGGGCTGCAGAATCATCTCTGCTGAGTATCTATGGTGTGCCAAGCTCTGCTCTTCTAAGTGCTCTACACCAATGGTCACACTCAGCCCTCACAATGGCCCTGACTGGGGTTCTAGCTGAAGTATCTGAGGCACAAAATGGTGCATTAGTGTGCCCCAGGTCACACAGGAGTCCAGATCCAATTTATTTAAATTGAGTCACCGAGAGGGAAGTTGGTCTGTTCATGGACTCATAGCTAGTGTGGGGCGTGGCTTCCCAGGCCCACCCTTCTCTCCTTTTGAACAAGCATCTGTACAAAGCTGATAACCCCAAGCTGTT